CTTCCCTTTTCCAAAAAAAAGGAAGCTGTCCGCATCATCATTCAAGCAGGCTGTTGTGTCCTGTGGCCCCAGCAATCCCCAGCGCCTGCACTTTGGCAACGCTGCGGCGGCGCCCCTCCTACTAGTGGCCCCATGAAAACACAACAACACAACAAGCACAAAAAAAATCTAGCACTTTCCCTTGGGGGCATCATAAGAATTAGTATTGTCGTCGAGACAGTCGCCGCCACCACAGTATTAAAGAAAGATTGCAAGTCCTACCTGCGCATGGTTCTTCTGAGAGTAGTAACGGTATGTCCACGCAGTACTGCACTCCCTTGTGCTACTGCTACCTAGCTCACTGGCGCATGTTCGTCTGCCGGCTTGATCTTTACGAACACAATGGCGACGATGCTGGTTACTGCTGGCTTCTATCGTTTTCCCGTCGTCGGTACCTTGGGCCAGTGCCGTATAGAAGTAGACATTATCACCACTCGTCCAGCGTTACAGTCGTCGGTCGTAGAGTGGCCGTCGTCGTCGTGGATTCGTCGTCGTCTCGTCCAAGAAGAATCCATCCTCGTATTCGTCGCTGCGGCAGTTTGATTACGAAGTCGTTGTCAGCTCTCCCAAACTCTCCGCGACTCCTCCTCGCGTTGATAAAGGCTGCCCAACTCACAGGCCAAGCCCTAATCTCCTGCTCCAGGCGAGCTGCGCATGTCTTCGGCTTCCGTTTCCTTAGCTTGGCCGGTGCTTGGCAGCAACTCTTGCACTCGGGCTGCGGCATGCATGTCGGGGAGTTTCAACAGGAGTCAATTGATTCTGTTGTCGGTCGGGCGTGCCGGTTGCCAATGGATTCTCGAGCAGGTTCAGGAAGGCACCACTCCTAATCGCTAGATGACGTACGCCGGGCCTGGACAATGCAATTTTGCTAGCGTCCGGATGAGCAAACCCTCAACGTCGTGCCCTGCAACCACACAAGCCTTAAAGCTTGAACGAACATGCCCTAAAGCAAAACCCTCAAATCAGCCATGCCTCCATCACCGAATGGCACAGGCCATCGAAGCAAAGCTCCTGAGATAGCTCCTCACCATAGCATTCGAACGTCACTCTGCAGGGTGTAACTGTAATTGAAGCAACATAGGTCAGGCTTGTGGAATTGTGGTTGCGGGCGATTTTTTGACACTCACACTCGGACAAGCCTGGCAAGGTCTGTAGCGATACTGGTCAAAAACTGTGGGCGATTTACGGTTGAGGATTCCGGAAGACATCAGGTTAGACATTGATGCAACAGTAGCCCAGTTGAATCTGATTCGGTATCTGTATGTGCCAGCTGAATTCGGGCTTCCAGCGAGGTACTGACGACATCAACGGCTTGAACCTCGAAATACATAGGGTAACCGCAAGAGACGTCGGAACATGAGCGCTGCAATGGCGATCATGTGATAGTGTTGTGGCGAAGACCCTGAACATCAGAACAAGATATGAGAACGATACACCCCAATTTCCGGATGCCCATCGTTCATGTGGTTGAACGCCAAGGATGGCTGAGGCTGTTGCTAGCTGTGATGGCCGAAACCCATAACATCCCAAAACTAAACTATGCAACCATAGTTGTTAGGAGTTAGGCTTAGCATGCCTGCGTCAGCGCCCAACGAGTGGACCCCAGCAGCACCAGCCCGGATAAGGTCCGCATGGTGCGGCTCGGGGATATGAACCTCAGCCGATAGATGCGCCTCCATCAAACTCTAGATGATGATGTTCTAGAGTGCGTTCGTCGAAGCCAGCCATATAGTAGTTGGCTGAGTCGTCGTGTCACAGTGTTCCCGATACACTTACGGACAAGCTCCGCACTTTCCACCATTTTTGAATCTGCGCGAAAACCATGCAGGTGTGTGTACACAGACATGTATGTGCGTGTGTGTGTATCTATATGTGTACACATAGACGTTGTCACATTATACAATTATACATAGTCATATTAGCTCAGTTGTATTGCACTATATCCTGGATTCCAACCCGTCGCCCCTCACCCTAAACCCTAAAACCCTAAAGCGCTGAACCCTAAACCATAAAGTCCTAAGTCCTAAACCCTAAACCCTAAACTTAAACCCAAACCGCTGCAGGCGAGGCTCGCTTTGGGTGTAAGAGTTGCGGAAGGCTCGGAGCCAGAGCCCAAACGGCGAGGGGCAATGAACGGGTTAGGGTTTCGACTCTCACACTCGCACAAGGCCGGCAAGGTTTGGGTTTAGGGTTTAAGGGTTAAGGGTTTAGGTTTTTTAGGGTTTAGGGAACATAATTTAAGTTGCCAAGAGGGGCAGGTGCGTCACGAGGATCAGGACTTGACCAGACCCTCCGTTGTGTTGCTGTCGGGGGCACTTGTGTTCCAGGGCCTGACCTCGTCGCGAAGGACCAGCCTCTTTGCCGTCGACATTTCTCCATCATTCGCTGCTCCAACGGACTAGCTGAGGTGGAAAGATCCTCCAGCTGCATCTATTAATGTAGGGGCCTTCCGCAGTCTATGATAATGATACTCTGAGGAATCATATTTGTAACTATTCAGGCTTCGATCCAATATTTTGTTGTTGACTAATCTGAAGCCACGTCATGCCACGTCTAGCGGGAAACCGAGAGATATATAGAGAGAGAGAGAGAGACTTGGGGAGAGACGAAGACGTGCTGCTACTTGGAGGATCATGGGACTTAGTAAGGAAGGTTATAAGTCCCCTAATTGGGGTTATAAGTATACTTACCTTAGTTATAACCCTACTTACTAAGCCCCAATGATCCTTTACGTAGTGCTCAGGAGTACAGGACTGCCGGCTGCCAGCTCTGAGTCGACGCCATCGGCTGCTGAACGCCAGCAGACCTTGGCTGTTGAAGCTAGTACGAAATCCTAAGGGTTTAGGGTTTTTTTGCCTCCTATACTTAGCAAGGACGAGTTTAGGGTTTAGGGTTTAGGGCCATATGGGGGTTTCCGAAAATAGGGGACCCTAATATAGTACCCTAAATAGTAGGATCCTTAATATAAGGATCCCAAAATAAGGTACCCCTAATTTTCGGAAACTCCCATGTAGTATATACATGTTGGCCCCAAAGTACCTATATAGGGACTACTTTGAGGCCAAAGTATATACTATTTGGGTACATGGACCCTTGTAAGGAAACAGAAACTGTTCATATGCTGACTCTACAGCATCATCTATGTCAAGATCCTGCGCGATCATCATCTGAAGCAACCAAAACCTGCGCACTTCCCCCCACACGTTTGACCCTAGCTCCTGGCTACATAGGAAGACCAGGCCAAAACTCACAAAGGCTTGCCCAAACGGTCCAAGTAATAGCATAATTATGCTTTTGGAGCCCAAGTATCTACTAAGTAGCTACTATAGTGGTACTTGGACTCTTTTTGTGTTATACAAGGCCCAGCTACGCCCCGGTGCTCCAGCGGCTGGGTCGACGCAGCGTCGCCAGCAGTGGCCACGCATCGCTCTGGAGCTTCGATGTCCTGGGTTTCACTGACAACACCTGTAAACTAAATCTTGTTTTCACAAGGTACTCGACTGCTGCCCTTACTGCCTAGCTACCCTAAATCTGAAACCCTGGAACCTGCTCTTAATAAGTGTAAACTATCTGCAACTGAATATTAAAATGTAAAACCTGCGCTCAACCCTAAACCGTAAACTCCCAAACCCTCCAAAGCTGCGGCTGGGTGTCGGCTTCCCAGGGACTGCAGGAAGCCCTGGGCCCAGGAGTGGACCCGAGGCCTGGGGGTGCCCACCTCAGCTCAAAGGTTTAGGGTCAAAAAAAGGGGCGTTAATAATTAGAGTAGGGTTTTGGGGCCCAGTGTACTATATTTATAATATTATAAGGAACCCTCAGAATAATCTTAGTAATCATTTAGGCCCCTATATTAGGGTCTGTAGGAGCCGGAGTTTAGAAAGTTTATGGGGTTTCGGGTTGAACTTCCGCGGCTTGGGTTCGTTTCTCGAACTCGCACGAGGCAGGCAAGCCTCCAGCACAACGGCTCCACTACTGAGCTGCTACCATGTACGGCCCATAGGATTGTCGGATCAAGTTGATAATGTGGCTCTGCCCTGCAGTCTACGCCCCATCTTGTTAAGTGTTCTTGCCTCCTACATAGCATGATGTTAAGTGCTTGTTTCTAAGGCTTAAGCAACTAAAGCGTGAAGAAGTTGGTGGGTGTGTAATTACAAACGAGCCCGCCGACAAATAGGTAAACACGCAGGTAGGCATTCAAGGGTGGCGCAGTCTGAAATAGACTCCACATCTGCGACTGCAAGGGCAATTTCAGCAACAAAGTAAAGGACAAGTTCTTGCAAATGACTCCAAACGAATGTTGGACGGATGGTATGACTGATTGAATGAACGCATGAATGACTGCATGAGTGACCGAGTGGCTGAGTTGCTTGTTTGGTTGGTTGGTTGGGTTGGTTGGTTGAACGAACAAACGAACGAACGAATGAGTGGATGGATGGGCATGGGCGGACGAAGGCTGGAATGAGCTAGTGAAGGAAGCAAGGAAGGAAGGGATAAATGAAACACATACGAATGAACTAACTAGTGGGTGGATGGATGCATGAACGGATAGTGAGTGAATTATTAGGTGTATACGTAGTTATGTACAACACTCGAACGAAACCTGAACTCCTGAAGCAAGACCCCTTGCACGCACGGAGACCGCCTTACAGACACAGCCGGGGATTTGCCCAGCCGGCAACCCTCGACTGCATGCCATCCCCCCTCTCGCACAGAAAGGTCATGTCATGATTTGAAGTCGGACGCGTTGGCATCATGAATAACGCGAACAGCCCAGACCGATGATGCAATATAGCAGCCAGCGCCACTCCAGGGCGGGCAGGTGGGCGGGATCAAGCTTGTAAATGCCACCCTGCTGCGACGGATGCACTATAACACAACATGACTGTTGCTCGCAGCAACTTACACATGGACCCACAGGTGAAGAGTTTCGCGAGTGTTCGCAGTCTGCACTGGCCGTATCCCTACTCCCACCTCGTCTGCACACTAACGAACACTAGCGAGACGCTCCCTTCCGTGCTTCCCGAGCTGCAGAAAGTGGATCCACAGACGTAGACACCGAACGGCCATTCGCACGTGTTGTGCTCGAACGCAGAAGAAATATAACCTGCCGAACAGGTGATGCTCAGCCATTTCGTTGCGTCACTCTCTCTGTCTGTCTCTCCCTCTCTCTCTCTCTCTCTCTCTCGCGTGCCTGCCATCAGGAGCTCTGGCCCAGGCAACGGGCACTTGAACCCGTCCGTGCATCAACGAGCGTTTGAGGAGAGCCCGTTGGTGATCAAAGCAGTCCATCTTAGAGCTTTGTCGTTCGCACTCGCGACTGCTCTCAAGCATGCTTCACATGCAGTGCTCACTCATTCAAGTCCCTCACATGCAGCATAGTTTACGCAAAGAACCTCGAGGAACAATGAAAAGGCAGTGCGATGAAGAAGCAGCAATTAGGTGAATATAGGGGCCGTAATAATTAGAGTAGGGTTTTGTGGCCGATTATGCTATGATTATGATAAGGAACCACCAAAATAGGTCCAGGCCTCTTCTTGCAGTCAAGTGCTTCTCGTAGCAGCCCGTCTCGCGATCAGAACCCGTCTCTGTCGAGATCTGGTAGTGCCTTAAGTTTTGCATTGGGGCACACTGAATGTTCGTACGTCGATCAGACGGGTCCAAGTGTGCCCAAGTTGATATACCAAGCCCCGGACCTGGTGACAGCCGAGCACTTACAAAAATGGTCTACCCGTATCACCCACTAAGTGGGTTCAGCACAGACGCTCAAATAAACCGAAGGACTGCTCTTCTACATGTATAAGTGTAGAAGCCCCATCATCCATGAGAATCTGAGCTGGCCTTGATTCAGGGTTCAAGATCATCTTCGCCCTTCTGTGCTCGGTTTCAAAGGTCTTCATCCAAGCTACTCGCTTGAGTTTGCTGACTCCAAGTTCACCTGGCTGTGGTTGACGCTTGACCTGGCCATGGCTGTGCACCAGGAAAGCTAGGAGCGGAAGCTTACAGCAGCAGCTCTGAGTCCTGGTTTGTTTGGCATGCCTGTTTTCCTGCACTACACGTCTATATAGACTCTAGACTCTGAACGACAGGAAGCTTGCATCAGTGCATCATCAGAAGCCGACTACATCCGCATCCTGTGGCAACATGTGGCTTCAATACTACTGTACATTGAGGCTTGGACTTGGATCAAATCCCAACCTGCTCCGAATATATACGAACATCGAGACTTCTTGTCATGCGGGCATTAACAAGGGGGGCCCATGCATGTGTGGCCTGTTATAGACAGCGGCACTGGAGATACTGTTGTTCAGCGCGATGACACCCAGCACGCCCGTGGCATCTTCGAATCGCGCAGTCAACGCACGCGAGAGGTTGATTGACCTGCTTGGTGCAGGCAGGCACAGCGAAGCGAGCACCCTTTTGACATGCTCATGAACCTGTTCTTGGACACTTGTGCGATCCCGGTTCTGTAGCTATAGAGTGGAACCCATCTTGGGAGAAGTGCTAAACCCTGGCATGCTGAAGTCTGAATAAGTCCGAGGGGCGCGTTCAGAAACAAACTCTTGTTGTCCTGGCACTTGAGCGGACAGCACAGCTGGGCTGCACACAAACCTGCCTCAATGCACGTCTTGTCTGGGTGTCAAACATCCGAGTGTTGAAGGTGCAAGTACTCGGCGATGCAGCGTGTCTGAGCCATCTACATCCGTAGGGTCTCAAAGCAGAGTTTGTCTACATTCGGCTTCCTCGTCAATGTCCGCAACATCCTGCAACCCTCTGTGCTGCCTCCCCCCCCATAACAAGGACAACTATTTGTGCGTCGGCTTTGAACCCAGCTCTTGTCTTCGGGGTCTTAAACGATGAGTTGTGCAGCCCATGGTCCTCAAAGGCGACATCCACCACATTTAACCGAAAGTCTGCAAGCCTTGCAGATTTCGAAGATCCGCAGGTCTGGCGACGGTTGGAGGTGAACCTATGCTCACCAGGCAGGAATCCCACTGGGCAAGCACCTTCAACCTGGCTATGCTTAACCTTCTTGCTCATCGTTTATCATGACAGGCCGAGAAGTCTCAACCCCTCAAGCGACCGCTGCGGAGCATGCGCAATTCCCGCCTACCTACCAGAATGCCTGCACCATTGTCGCCTTATAAGCCCCTCGAGTCGTCTTCCGAGTCGCCGCCCCCTGGTGACCTGTGTCGTGGCAGACAATGCCAGATTGGTGCTCTCTGCGGCGATCTCGCCGGAAACCTCTGAATACGAGCTTTGCTGTTTACACAAGCTCTGTCGGGATCTGTCGGGCACCTTCGGATATCTGTCAGACGCCATAGCGGCTATGGGGCACGTTGAACACAAGGTACCACGCGCACTGGCTTCAACAGCTTCCGGGTGGCAATTGTAATTAGACCCTGCAGGAAAGGAATACGATCATCCTTGCCTCTTTGTATGTATGGATGTATGTATGTACGTATGTATGTAAGCATGCATGCATGCATGCATGGATGGATGGATATACATACATACATATATATATATATATATATATACTAGTGAATAGTAGGAACGGGTGAATGAATTTATGTATGTATGCATGTGTTTTTGTATGTACATATAACCCAGGACCTCACAACCCGGAAACCTGAGATAACCGGCGGCAAAGCTGCCAGGCAGTCGATCTCTTGGCCACTTCGGAGGAGAAGCTGTGATTGGACCTGCAGCGCCAAGCCAGACCCATGAGCTCCGACTGGATCGGCTGTCACAAGTTAACGTTAACGGCGCCTATCAGTGCTCGACCAGGACACATCGACAGTGCTATGGTTTCTTCGCTAGCCAATGTCGGACTCCACATGGGCTCTGTACAAGTATGGTCCGGGTGATCATGTCGCACTGAGGCGTAAAGCAGGCGTGAGCAGAGATCGCTCAAATCTGAGCTACAGCAGTTGATGGCACAGGCGACATTCCAGGGCATCAGTCAATCCATCCGTAGTGACCAACCTTTTCGCAGTGAATTTCAAAATCACGATGGTCGAAGGGACTCCCAAGAGTGATCCAGCTATCGCAGGGACCACAGAAAATGGCCTTACCATCACTCCTGCGAGCCCCCGCACACGGATGTTGCCAAGACTCATCCCAGGACAAGTTCACTTTCTGCAGCGCATCTTGGATGAGATCTGGCTCCCTCGACGGCACAAGAGCCTGACTGCACTCCGGTCTGCGCGGCTCTTCGGCTGGCTGTCGGTTGCCTTTGTCAGCTTGCGCCGGCTTCCTGCGCTCTGCCTCTGCCTGGGCTTTCTGCTTGTTTTTTGCCTCCTTTTGGGCTTTGAGTCGATCTGCCATGGCTTGCTTTCCTCGTTCCTGTGTGGCACGCCGCGCCGAGTCTGCTGGAGCTCGCTGTTCAGCGGGCGGACGTGAGCGTGGCTCCTCCACATGAGGTTCTTGAGTCATCTTGTCAGAAGCTTTCGCGGCAAAGAAATCATCGAACCATGCATCCTCTTCATTCTCCTTGTTCTCTTCGGACCCCTTCGGATTAACTTGGATCGCTGGACTCTGCACCTGGTCGGCAACCACGCTACGCTCGGAAGTAGTCTGGGATGCTGTCGGTCTTGTCTTCACGATGGCTTCTGAACTGCCTTTGGCTCTTGCCTTTGTCAAGGCCAAGTTGCTTGGTAAACACTGGAGTGGCACCCCCAAGTCCAAATCCAAAGAAGCCAAACTTGTGGAGTTGGACCCGGCGAGGAAGATGCCCCGGCAAAACAAGCGGGGCAAAGCGCTGCCAAAGCCGTGTCCGCTACACATCTGCAAAGCTGCAGCACGCAAATCACCAAGCGTCGAACCTGGAGGCAGCTGCAACTCGACTTCACACACGCCGGGGGCCTCTTGGGCCTCATCCCCCTGATCAGGCACGAGCAAACGTATGAAGAAGGGCTCCTCAAAATTGTCTTCGAGCAGGGCTGCTTGGACAGACTCCAGACGGTGCCCAAGTGCTGTAGGAAGGTCCTGAATGGCCTGCAAGAGCGCCGCACACTGGTCTTGAAGATCCTCAGATGGTGCGACTTGCAACAGCGGGTAGTTGACCTGCATGGCCACGACAGACATCGTCGTAGCCGAATCCACAGCCCCGGCTGCGCACAGGACCTCTGAACCTTGCTCAAGGAACCGCCGGAAGATGCGATGCGCTTTTTTGGGATCATTCTCTTGGAGCTTGCTCACCTCCTTCTTGTTGAAGAGCTCCACAAAGGATCTAAGTTGGCGCACAGCGTCAGATCCCGAGCTTGCCGTCTGGCTTCGGCCAATCTCTTCCGACAACTGGCTGGCGCGGCTCCACATGTCTGCCAACTGCCGATGAAGCTTCCGTCTTGCAGCCTCAAACTTGCCCCGATGGAAGTCCTGATTCTGCAAACTCTCGGGCTCAGCATCGTCATCTTCTGAGCGTCGGGGGCGCTTCTTGCGTTTGGGAAACATCTTCCGAAACTCTTCGTCAGCATCCCAGCTGTCATCAGAGAATTCCGAGTCCTCCTCATCCTCCTCCCCCTCCTTGTCCTTCCCCTTGCTGTCCGATGGTTTCTTGTCCTTTTTTCCAGCCTCCGATTTCTCTTTCTTGCCCTCCAGCTCGTATCGCTTGGGCTCGACTAAGAGATCGCGCATTTCCTGCAGCAGTCGGAACCGCTCGGCATCACCGCCTTTGTCTGGGTGAAGCTCCAAAGCACGTTTCTTGAAGGCTTTTTTGATCTCTTCTTGGCTCGCCTTCCCGTCTCCAGCCACGCCCAAGAAGGACCATGCTGCTCGGCGCTCCAGGGTCTTTAGACGTCCACTCGCCTTCTCGCGCCAGTCTTGCATGGCATGCACTTCTTCTTGCAGGGCCTCGTTGCTCATTCGCTGCAGGCGCTTCTCTAAGCCCTTCTTTCTGCCAGTGAGCTCCTCTATCAGGCGCTTTGGGTCCCATGCACCGTACTTCATCTCCATGTCAATGCGGTCAAGGACGCCTCCCTTGGCCACCCGTTTTGGGTGGCAAGAATACTCCAAGCATCCCTCCTCCTCAATGCCGGAGACGCGACCAAGCAGGGGCAGCACAATAACGCCCGGCCCGAACAGGGTGACCGCCTTGGCCACGTCATGACGGGCGTGCCAGATTAGAAGATCGATTGATCGACTGGAGGCTTGAAAGCTGTCATCCTTGCTATCTTCGTGAAGTACGAGGGCACTCTGAGGGGGCCCAACATCAGCGACAGAGTAAGCCATGGCCGGCAATGGCCTACAACTCTGACCGGTACATACCGGCCAGAACAAAACTTCAGATCAACGTCCGGTAGGCTGGAAATGGTAGGGGTCTCGTCATGTCAAACTGTCAAACTTAGCATACTGTGTCCTCCAGCTTGCGCCATCTTTAGCGAAAGTAGCTCGACACTCCAAGGCTAATTCAGTTCCATGCATTTTGCAGAGCGTCCAATGTCTCACACACTCTATCTCACATCAACAAAAATCAACCTTTCTCTATGTCTGTCATCCATCTACCTATGATATTAGCTGTCTGTCTATCTCTCTATCCATCCGTCTATCTATATGTATATACATCCGTAAATATGCAGAAGCAGACATTCTGAGAAGCAGCAGAAAAATGACTCACCAACGGCGGAACTGCGGCAGACCAGACACACACACACACACACACGCGCACACACACACACACACGCACACCAAAGCCCACACTTGTGCGCTCCCACATGTACGGAGAGACTCAGGAGTTCCTGCACACCTGGAGTTCCGATGCTAAGCGCCTCGTAGCTGTGGCTGCCACGCATCCACTGAGTACCTCAGCAACTGATGGAACATCCCGGCGCCTCGTACCAAGAAGTCTGAAGGGGCCCAAGAAAGCGACCCAGGCTAGAAACTCTAAAACCAGGCACCATATTGTCCAGGTGCTGGAGGTGTTCGACTTCTTGTGTACTCGCTCGGTCACATTTGGCACGGAATCTGGCAGCTTCCGAATCCGGCCACCTGAAATTGACCTGGGCTTATCACTCCACGGAGGCTCTTCTCGGAAATGGGTGCCTTGGACCCTTTCTTTGCGAGGTCGGCTTTACAATACGGTTTTAGTGAGTCTTTGCGGGGCTTCGGCTTCGGAAACGCTTGAAATGCCCCTACTTCCTATGAGCTCGAGGTATACGAGCTCAGCGTTTTTGCGCGTCTATCGTGACCAGCTTTCAATTAAGACGTCTGTCTTGTCAAGGCCCCCACCGGACCTGATTATAAACCCTAAACCCTAAACCCCTAAACCCTAAACCCTAAACCCCCAAACCCTAGAAGACCAAGAAACTGGTTGGCCTCCGCATGGCGCAGCAAGAGCACCGGATCGAGAAACCAGGTCCCCTGGGGGTTGTTGCCCCAAACCTGAGATGCACGCGCCAATGCTTTATGTACCCCCCAAGAACCCATGATTTCGGAGCCCATGCTTTATGTACCCCCAAGAACCCATGATTTCGGAGCCGATGCTTTATGTACCCCCAAGAACCCATGATTTCGGCAAGTAGGGTGCCGGGGCAGATATTTATCAGCCATCGTACTCTTCCACTGACAGGGAGACCCCAGTACTTAATGTGGCCTCCTGATGAATAACCCGCCCTGATCATCCTGAATCCAGATTACTGTCGGTTTTTCCGCCGGTTGATATATTTATCTTTCTTTTTGGGAGGGGGGGCAGGGTCTAAGTTGCTGGAAGGTCACGAGTACAGTAGTAGTACAGTAGTCACTAGTTGCAGTATCGTGCTAGTACAGAGCCTTAAGTTTGGCTGGCTGGCTATCTCTGCTCTCTGTGTCTCCTCCATCTTGTCGGTCTCTGTCTCTCCTCTTCCCGGGCGTCTGTTTGTAGTTGCTGCGTCTACTTCCCAAAAGAGAAGCAGGATGGAAATTGAGGACTATGGAGGGGTAGTTGAATATTGTGTGCAGGCCAGGTTTAGCTCAATTGAGGGGGCCATTACTAATCACGAGCCCACATTAGGGTGTACACTCTAGTTGTGCAGTCCCGTGGATCCATAAACTACCCAAACAGCTTTCCAGAAGAAGGACTTATGCAAAGAAACTTACAGAAATCATAACAAGGAGCCCTGAAAAGGTAGGTTATTTGGCAAACCCTGAAGCTTCGAATGGCCTGGACCGTCACGTTGTGCGCGGCCCCATCCAAGAGCCAGCTCGCAAAAGGTGTGAGATCGAACTCATAGGGTGGAATGTCGAAAGACAGGATACCTGAAACAAGTTTCCGGGTTTGTACTGTAAAAGTCTATATAAGTCGAAGGGCCCAATTTTACACTCTAAAGGCCTGTAGTCTATAGAATCTATAGGGGTTGGGTTCGGGGTTTACTTCGGGCACAAATCAAAACCGGACCCGCTCTGCCATCGGAGACTCCTGTTTCTGCATTCGATGAATTCACGACCAAAAGATGTTTCGGCCGGAACACCTTTAAACTTGATGTAGGGGCCTGAATAATCAGAATAGGGTTTTAGGGTATATCATGCTATACGTATACTAAGGAGCCTCCAAAATAGTATTGGTAACTATGTAGGCCCCTACATTAAGCCCTGTCCAGGTGTAAGTTAGCATGACGAGCCTGTCAAAGGTCGCCAAAGAAGGGGATTGATGCCACCCGTGTAAATCACCGGGAACGGCAGCACTGCATCGGCCAGGACTCCGTCCTTGTTTCAACTATATTTAAAGGATCATGGGACTTAGTAAGTAAAGTTATAAGTCCCGTAATTGGGGTTATAAGTATAGTTACCTTAGTTATAACCCTACTTACTAAGTCCCATGATCCTTTAAGTAACTATCGCTGTTTGGAGCTGCAGAGCACGCAGGCTGTCAGACTTTGAGGGTCACTAGCGAGGCGAGGCTGCAAAAGTGCTGCTACAAATGGGATACGGACGGAAGATTCCCTGCCCCCGCCCAAACTGCCTTACTTCACCACCGCCATCAATGCGGTCCAGGGTGCAATATAGACCAAAAGCCTGAGCCACCGTTCTTGGAGTGTTTGCATGGTTGGAATTCAGAACCGAATGAGCGATTGACCCGGCTAAACCCTAATCTACATCAGCCAGAGCACTCACGGTAGGCGCCGCCGCCACATGTACCAGAAGGCACATCGGTCCCGGGAACATTGGTATACCAGAACTCCTGTCAATGGAACGGGCATGGATAGTCAGATAGTCCTGCCATCACGAGCACTTGCCAAAGATGACACGTCTACAGTGGCGTCAGATTCCCTTTGAAGGGGTGACGAGAACAAAGGGCGGCCCTGGATTACGACAGCCAGTACTTTCTACACTACTATACTGCTATACTCTTACCACTGCTGCCGCTGCCACTTGCACTATCACGTTGGCCATCGCTACAGGCTGTGCCCGCAGGAAGGCATTGGATGCTGCTACAATGCTTCTGCTTGACTTCTCAAGCGTTTTCCGGATTTCCTGCAGCCTAGAAGCATACATGGTGGAAACTGTGTTCCGTGAGAGAGACATAGAGTACTGAGTACTTAGGCACGCATGAGATGTTTGTGTATATACCTCTACTCTACAACATACGCAAAAATGAGCATTATATATTTATTATATACTGGATCCATGTCGAAACGACTTTTTTCGGCTTCCCCCGTTCCCTGGGCCTCGCAACCATGCCCAGAAGCGAATACGTGCAACCGGATCTGGCTGACGTAGGAGGCAGGATCCTCACAGAGAGGATCGACTCGGGTTCAACACGAGGTCACCGAGTGCCCCCCCCCCCCCCACCCGCTTAGCTGACCAAGGCGCACTGGTTGGGGCAGGATACGTTTAGGGTCTTTTTGCTACTCACACTTGTACTGAAGTAATGATGTGAGAATGTGTAGAGGCTGCATGCCCGTAGTGAAAGTTATCCTTGCGACAGACCACAAATCGTCGCTCAACGACATCACCACGTTGCGTCTGAGTCGTCAGTCATATCCTACCAGCCTGCCTGATAAGGAATTCCAAACAGTGGATGGTTTCGGGGCTATATTATATACCTCCTGTAAAGCTGGATTACAGCTGCAAAATCTGCGGGCTGGTATGGGGATAGTATGGGGGATTATCGGGGTATCTGATAATTCTGACATCTATCTATCTGCATTTCCAGGGACCATGGCTTGGGAGACCTTTTTACGTGATTGCCATCGGGCGCCAAGTGGCAAGCGTGACCGTGCTTGCTTGCCCGAGCGCCCCTGCGAACGGCAGAAGTACCCAGCTCTGACCACGATGGGCACCGAGGGCCGTCATGTCTACAGTGCTAACGGAGAGGTATCAACAATTACATCGCAACGAAGTGCATTGTCGCAGTACGGTCGTATGATACACTACATAGTTGTACCACAAATAATAACTATACACTGCTGATTGCATGTAAGCATCGGTTAAGCATGTCTGAATGCAAATTCCGGCCTGAGTTCGCCAGCCGATTCAATGGGTCGGAGGCGTTCGTGATGTCCTCCGCTCATGCAGACATGCTGGCCATGCATGCTACAATGCTCAACTGCCGCATATTGTGCAACGAGTCGACATAACACTTCGTGTCCAGATGGTCAAGAACATGGATCACGGCCATGCAAGTTGGAAATCGGCACGGATCCTACAGCACGTTGGGCTCGCACGCTCCTGAAGGGGAAGCACGGTCCAAACGTCCGGCGCCAAAGCTGTCAGCTGGTAGAAAGCGATCGAAACGTTGATGTGCAACCTTGTTCCGATCCCGGCTCTGTTGACAGATTCAGTGGCCAGAAAACATGGTCCCTGTCCTAGAACACGCTCGCTCTCCCTCTCTCTCTCCCTAATCGATGCGACCAGCAGCACACCAGTGTAAGTTGGATCCACGACGTTCGGAATCATCCTGGGATGCTTAACGCCCTTTGGGAGCTCCCAACACTGTAGCTTGATTGCTGAGTAGGACGACGGGGGAATCTTGAAATATAAGTGAAAAAACCAAAGGACGCATGCACGGTATGACCAAGCCAACTACCAGTCTCGCTGCAAGTGCTAATCGGTAGATTTTGCCAGACTCCCGGTTTCTTCGACGGACATTTCGCCGCCGGAACGACACATCAGGTCATCAGGTCAACAGCTGCAGTGCCCAGACTCAGAGTCATCTCTCCAGCACTGCGGAAAAGGCTCCTGAGTCGTCCGCTGCATTGAAAAAAGGCGCATCAGTGTCACACCCCGGTTTCCTCGAAACGCGAAGGCCAGAAAACAGTGAAGCACGTAACCGGTGACTGTAAAACTCCAACCAAGGATCTGAAAGTCGGTGATATCCCGCTCCACATGCCACTCGATACCCGAAGGAGAAGGCTCCGGAGTAGTCGTTCGGAGGAGCTCCTCGAATGTGACAGAACTCAAACGTGGCATAAGTATCGACTGGTGACTGGTGTGGTGCCCAAGATTGCCCCCCCAAAGCCCGCCTCCGTTCTCAGACGGGAGCGAAGTTCGCTGATGGAACTAATAACATTCTACTGTATCAGGAGGGCCCTCTCTGTTGGCTAACAGCCCTTATAACATTCCCCAACGGAGCTGTCTTCATTTTCCTCTCTCGCTCTTTCTCAACTGTTGCACAGAGGGCGGGGTTCCATTGGCTCAAAGTTGGATGGTTGGAGTCTAGAAACTAGAAACATGCTGATTACGAAGCTACCTTTGTTCGCGTGCAAGACTGGGCACAACGCCGCGAAACCACACCGCGCCGAAGCGATCGAACTGTACTCCTCTCACATGTCCGTCGAACCTCGGCATCCCAACTCAAAGGGTGCATACTGGCTACTGGCTAGTCGCAACACTGCGTTTGGCACCTTCTTGGGTGTGTTGATGTCTGCTGGGACTACTATAGAGGAAGGCTGAGATAGGCTGGGGTGACGGGCCTTCGGCCAGAAGCACCGACCTCGCTGACTTCATGCTGTGCCAACGGAGCTTCAAGGTGCAGACCGACCCGGCTCTGAGACTCTGACATCAGGACGACCTGCGACCAGCAGGACTCTGAAACGCTGCGCCCACCTTGGAAAAAGGCAGGCATCCGCGAAGATTCGTGTCGAGCTTTGCCTTGTGATACTGGCTTGCTGAAGGGGCATTTTTTACAAATGCGACGACTGTCAAGAATCTGGCAAGGTTTGGGCTGTAGGCAGTTAGAACCGCCGGCTCCTAACTGTCAAAGTTGGGAGTAACAACTTAAGCTCTGCCTAGCAGCTGCAGGAGCAAGCAGTCTCATCATCTGGTGGCTCGAACCAAGACCGAACAACTTGTCCTCGGGGTGTCGAATTCTTGCAGTGAGACACGGCTCTGCATGCCGCTTTTGGGTCGTGAAGATTATGACGGGTTGAAGTTGAAGCACGGGGACAGGCTTACGTGTACGCTGCTTGGAATCGGGTTTGTACCGCATGCATGTGGTTTCGAATGCCATCCATTCCGACAAGCGGTCAGGCATGAGTCATGAGTGCACCTGGCCGGTAGGACATTCACAAGTGCAAACGAGCGAGCTCTGCTTGACAAACCGCTTGGCCTCCCATGCTCGTCTTCTGTGCCGACAAGAATCCGTAGCCTGAGCTTCATCAGGTGCAGATGCGGCTTATCCTGACTATCAAATTCAAGACCAAATAGGCTGCACTACACCATGCCGGTCTTCGTCAAGTTGCGACGGCTGCCGGGCCGAAATTTCAATGCAACTTATGGCTTCGCTTGGAACGAGCAGCAAAAGCTTGCACATGCATGTCCTTCGTGCCACACTCGAATGCCCTTTAGCTGCAACACGGCCACGAAGCGAAGCCGAAACCCGACACAACCCGAGACCCAAACATTATTTGGGCCGAGACACCAGAGAGGTTCGCTCCCAGCACAGCCGGGCGCACAGCACAGGGGGCCGAGGCGCCTCTGTGCGAACTCAGATGTTGGGCGGCCATTGAAAACTGTTCAAAAGACGGTGGGGGACTAAGCAAAGGAGGCTTTCTCACAAAATGACTTCGGGATCAAATGTGGGATGTGGGTTCGCTTCATGTGTAGGGCCCAAAGACAGCTCCAAGCATGATCCTCAGAATCTGACGAATGGTCTGTGCTTGCACACACCAACTCAAGAACTTGGAGGAACCCGGGGAAAAGACAACTCAGACACATCGCAGGGCTCTGTTAATGCCTCTGGCTGATGTGAAGGAGTTATATGCTGCGCAAGTAACCCTTTGCCTTGATCTGATCTGTGCATAGCCTAGGAAAACCTCAACCACATGGAGGCGGACTTGCTGCAAACAGCGGATTGTGCCCCCCCCCCCCCCCCCCCGCTTGCCGATCCTTTCGGATGTGGTAGCGGTGGCTCTGCAGTTTGGGGGTCCTCCAGGCCAGACAGCCCGGGAGGACTACCCATCCAAATATCAACCCCAAAACGGAACTACTATGGGGCCTATGGGTACTTTGACTGCCAGGACGAGGGAAACTGTGACTTCTGCGGGACCTCAAGACATCAGGCATCTATTCTTCGAGCAACCGCCAAGAGCCTGTCTTGCTGCATGCTCAGCGTGAAGGGATAGGAAATGGAGGTCCACAAAGCTAATAGTGGTATCCAGCAGCCAATTCGGGAAGGGGACACGCAACCATGAAAGCCAGCTGCAAAGTCTAGACATGTCCTGGTAAGAGGGAAATGCAACCTCGGCTGAGGCGATGCACATAAGAAGTGCTTGCTCGGTGATACTGGGCAAACCTCTCTACGGTTCTTCTAGCATACATAAAGGAGTGGGCCAGTGTCGGCCCGAAGGAAGGCATCCGCAAGAGCGATGTTGGTCATTCCGGGACTGTGAAATACTGCCATGGGCCATGGGTTGAAATCCACTGCCGCCCGTGAAAAGCGCTTATCTCCACGGCAAACCCTGAACCTGGGGCACCCCGGCTCGGAGCCCATCTACTGACAAGTGCCTGCAGGCCACGCCATCCGCCCCTAGCAAGCGCACCGCGACCAAGGCGGACAACAGCGGCTTGACCAGGAGGACCATGACATCGGTCCCTCTTCCTGAGAGCTACGTCCCCCTCGTCCTGAGCAGACGGTGAGCCAAATGCCAGCAGCAACCGACACGGCAGAACCGCGTGGTTCTTTTTCAGTAAGACGCAACAATGCTTTAATGTCTAACCTGATCAGCTCGATGAGTTGCTCGATGCGCTGGCTCAGAGAAGGCTACTCGATCATGTGTTCTGCTGATTGTTCCAAGTCTAGACTGTGCAGGGTATTGGAAGCATGGCTTCAACACGGGATCATGACGCGGCAATGGTGCCTTCATGGGCATCTGTCTCTGTTCGGAGGCTGGCAGCCATCAATCATCTGCTGCAGTGCCTACTAGCAACCTGAATTTCTTGCTTATCGGGCCATGATAGGGCCTGAGCACTGCTCCGTGGGTGGCAACACATGGAGCTTTTCTTCACCTCCACCGCCGACTCATTCCGCAGGAAGAATGTGCTCAAATCTTCCGACACATCCTGCAGCACAGCGCATGTAATCCTCGTAGGATACCCAGCAAGCCCACACCACAGCAAGCACTTTATTTAGAGTATCTATATACGCAGCTTTGGATCTTACAACAACTCAGAAGGTCCAAACATCATCGAAACCAGAAAAATAGCTCTCTCGCTCCGCCTCTCTTTCGCCTCCTCTCCGCCTGTCATGCTTCGTTGTGCACACAATCCCAGTATCTTTCCACATAACGGCACTGTTGAATTAGGACAATATTTCGGGAACCCCATTATGATCTATTGTATTGCTAACGACTTATAATCCGACTATTACGCTGCCGTCCGAGAGGCCTCCAGCGATCGGCTGGTCACCTCTCCGCGCGCGCCGCGACCCAGAGGCCGCTGGCTCCGAAGTTCGCGCCTGGGCCGGGCTGGCCTTAATGATTAGAATAGGGTTTTTGGGGCCCATTATAGTTCAGGGTTATAATGATCCGTCATTAGTAGGACTTCCACAAACAGGGTTTAGATCTTCACTTCTGGATCCTAGAGTTCTGGAGCCCTAGAGCGGTATGTTCCGTTGGAACAGGATTTCTATATGTCGTCCTTTGTTCGCGTTTAAAGCTGGGTTGACTCCCCTGTTTACGCTCTCACAACTCGGACAAGCCAGGCGAGGCTCCATAGTCGCAGGTCGGCGTGATACTGACAGATGGTAAGCTTGCCCAAACAAGGATTTAGGGTCCGAACTTGCGGTCTGCGACTGTTCGATCGTCAAAGTATCGCACTTTCATCCACGACGCCACAGACACAACCCACTTTCGTCTAAGACAGGGGCCTGAATAGTTGGAATAGGGTTCTGGTGCTGGGTATTTCATGTACACCTTTTTAGGTCACACTCAGGAAGAATCTTGGTAATTGTTTAGGCCCATAAATTATTCCCCTACAAAACCCTAAACCCTAAACCCTAAACCCTAAACCCTTCTCTCACAGGCAGAAGCGGCTTTGTATCCAAGGTGCTGCAGCCAACCCGAGAGCTGCGTAGGAGGGCCTTGTCTCTGCTTGGCGGGGACACGGATATATTACATGTTCTACATTATACTTCACCGTGTACTATATGTTATACATTGTTATAGTTAACTAGATACTATAGGTATTGTATACTGTATACTATATATATATATAAACTACAGACATACTTTATTTTGGGTCTGGCTTTAACGGTGAATGCCCACAAGTCTTCTGGAACCTTGAGCCAACTTCTTCACTGACAGGAAAAACCGTGCAGGTGCTGAAAGATCGAATAGAATCCAGCCAAAAAAAGTTGCAACCACAACTTTTGCCAAGAAGCCTTCTGCTGCGAAGCGGCTGTCCAGGAGGAGCAAGCTACCATAGTCGGCCTGTTTTGCCGCACGGGCAGACAGGCCGGTCAAAGGACAGCTCTTTAGAAATGCTTGACACACCAGCCGCGGTTCGGAAGAGGTTTCTGCGGTGTCAACCATTTCAGTAACAAGAACTCCGTTCTGCTCTCCACTCTCCACCCGTCTGCAGCAGGGCCAAACTCCGACAAACAGCGGCCGACTACAGGAATCAGGGTCCACTCAACCAAAGTGCCGAAGCAGTGAATTCGCATCCCGGCCCATGCATTTTGCCGCCTGGTGCCGAAGCAGTCGCCCAGCAGCCTGTGATACCTAGGGCTGCACTTGCAGAACGGTCCCGTCTGATTCACTGTCTACTGCCCGGCCACCAAGAAAGGTTCGCAACTTCACAAACTGGGGAGCATTGGCCTTTCAGCCTGAAGCCCCCGCCCATACCCCACAACCAAAGGAACCTCTCCATCCACGCGCCAAGCTGCAGACCTGTAGGCTTCCGCCTGGTACCAGGCATCCTTGTTCCTGGGTTGCTGTTGCTGCTAAGGCTGCTAAGGCTGCTAAGGAACGTAAATTCAGATACCATAGTAAGGACACCCTAGTAGTTCACTATATATCTCGGCTATGGTAACTTATAAATCAAGTTCAAATCCTGAGCAGCAACCCAGGCTCTCTCGCTCATACTCCATTTTGAGCACCACTTCGGTCTCCAGGCTTGGGAAGGGGACGCCCACGACCTCAGACGCTCTTCAACTCGAGAGATGGTAGCATCTACGAGACGTGCAGATAAACATACATCATATAACCCATTCCTTTCCATCATTCTGGCTTTCACTTCGTTCATGCCTGGGTGCTTGCACGCCTACAAGATCGTTGGCAAATTGCTCTGAGACAACTAACGGCTTATCAGCAGCAAAGGACAAAAACTCGGTGCTGCCGTGGTGCCACAACTGCTCGTGCGGCTTCATCCTGACAATATCTCGGCTTGCGCTGCCCTACATTCTGCCACAGTTGTTCCTATCCACGTAACTGAATGAACCATGTGGCATGTTGTTCTGCAAAACACCACGGTGCATGAAGCATCACACTGGAACCTTTAAGCATGTGCAGAAATCCTGCAGTTTGAGAAAAGTTGGTCGGATCTCCATGCAACTCATGCAACATGCCCCAGAACAGGCTACTGCAGCCCCTTTGAAGCCCCGCACACGGAGGAGACTCGAGCGTAGGCGGCTCCTTAAAGTCAGCGCCCTCAGCGCAGCGACCGCGCATCACGGCTAGCAGCACAGCACCAGCGGCATCACGGGCTGCAGTCCTGACAATCTGGAGCTGCATATGTCGATCATCGGACGTTGAGGGCTTCCCGACTATTAGGGAGTATTCAACTCATGGGCATGGCGATGTCTGCATGATTCAGACCTTCGCCACATGGGTAGATCACACCTTCCCTCAAGGATAGGATGGAGAAGACTCGGGCAGCCGTGCAGGAAGTGCGCTTAAGCTACATGTCATACGTCATACTGCAAACGGGATTAAACGGGTCGAACGAATTTCCGGTATCTGTGGATCTCTATAACCAGGCATAGGTGCGCAAGTGGATGTATAAGCAGATTCATCGTGCTTGGATGCAAACACAAAAATAACGATAGTATGTACATACATACCTGCATGCATGCGTGCATGTGTACATGCATACCTACATTGCATACATACATACATACATACATACATGCATGCATGCATGCATGCATGCATGCATACATACGCACATATGTACATATTTGCATGCATGCTTGGTAGATAGATCGAACCATGAGCCTCAACTGACTTTGGTGGCCAGGAAGCCGGTATCGCGCGACCAGTTCGGCAGAGGCTTCACTGCTAAGTCCAGACGCTTCCACCATTGCCGGGACGCCGCAAAGGGACCTGAATCCACAATCTCATCGAAGCCGCTGAGAGGCAAAAAGGAAACTAAGATCAGTACGCATGTGAATGCATACACACATGTATGCAATGTACGCATGCGTACATAGCTAGCTACCTACCTACCTACCTACCTACCTACCTACCTACCTACCTACCTACCTACCTACCTACCTACCTACCTACCTACCTACCTACCTACCTACCTACCTACTGTACCTACCTACTGTACCTACCTACCTACCTACCTACCTACCTACCTACCTACCTACCTACCTACCTACCTACCTATGCATATACACGCAGACAGACATACAAACATGCATAGATTACCATACCAGCCATGCTCATGCCCATGCCCATGCCCATGCCCATGTCCATGCCCATGCCCATGCCCGTGCCCATGCCCGTGCATGCTTATGCCTGTTCCCATACCCTACATGCGTACGCGCAAAAAGATGCTTAAGCAGTTTTACAGATATAGGGACACAAGTATCAACAGAAAGGTGCAGGACCCAGGTCAGGTTGACATATACATTGTCACGTACACGTAGAAAGCACATATGGTTGATTACACAGATAGCTACACATACACATGCAATATGTACACACAAAGAGTATGTACACACTGAGGGCTGCCAGCAGGAACGCTTCGTTTTGTCCGTTGCCCGTGTGATGTAGCATCAACAGACATGCAACTAAGACATGAGCACGTAAATTGCTGCAAGCAGGCAGGCAGACAAACACACGCACACACACGAACACACGCACACACACACACACCCGAACCCGTGCAAACATAACACGTCTGCGCATACATATTTTCTATATCCACATGTCGTCAGTTGTACACTAAGATTTGTTTCAGACTGGCAACGGGCTTCCCCAGGACCTAGCCGCTATTCAGTTCCGACACCCTACCATCTGCCAGCCCTGAACTTTCAAGGCGCAGAAACATCCTCAGCAGGCTCTTCCTTCTTGGTGCCGTACAACCCCAGTCTGAAACCCTAGTTAACTTATTAAAGCCTAGCGCCTAGTCCATCCATCCCAGGTACTCTGCACCACCTTTGCCTCGCTCGAGGAGGCCACAGTGCCTCCAATGACGAATGGCATCCTCTGCTCGACAAGATTTCGACGCTCACACTCGGACACTACAGTACAGGCGAGGCATGTCGTTCGAGGTCTGATTGAAGTGAAACCAACGGAATCAGTGGAGATCGAAATCAACCAGGCATCCCACAGAGTCTCAACCTAAGGGGTTTAGTGTATAAGGCGGTTTAAGGTTTAGGGTAGGTGCCATGACTGTAGTTGCAACCACTTGTCTTCTTGCGCTCCAAGTTCGGATTACTAGTCCTCAAAACTGCACCAACGGAAAGCTTGGTCGTCGCCCAAGCAACAGCAGGACGAGAAGGGTGAGTTCAGAGAGTCGTCGTCGTAGCAGCATCACCAGCAGCAGCGACATTACTATGTACATGCTCTGCAGTAGCTGTTCCCGTGGTGGTGGTGCTAGCAGCAGGAGGAGGAGGAGTCGGCATGGTATATACACATCGTCGCTGTGGCAAAGCAGAAGCAGTGGTGGTGGTAGTAGTAGTAGTAGTAGTTGTTGTTGTTGTAGTCGTCGTAGCAGTAGCAGCAGCAGCAG